TACATTTTTTTAATCTTTAAATTTTATTTATCAGAGGAAGATGTTGGCACCCTTATCTAAGGGGCATTGATTGTTGTTGTAACTAATTTAGGATTCTTAAGAATTATATGAGTTTAATCATTTGAGCATGTAAGGGAATAGTACAATTTAACGGTAATTGATATGAATTGGCTTTGATGCCGCTACATTTTGTTCGTTCAATTTGGTGCATTTGGTCAATATCTTGTCAAATAAAAGAATATGATGGTGGTGGAGAAATCAAAGAGGACTACCTTCTGCCTTCATTATGCCATTGCTGAATACTCCATGTTAAAGTTGTACCTTTTTTTGAGTGTATAGAGAGCCGCAAAGTTTTTGATGATACAGTGTTTGATACTCCGTATCATATATTAGGTACCGCCCTCTTAAGACTATAAATTAAGCTAGTTAACATCCTCAGTAATAGCTTGTCCAAAATAAGGAAACTTTGAGACTAATATTTTGTTATGAAATTTCTACCCATTTGCCAAATAATAAATATGGTCCCTCATATTAATGAAAACCAAAACTAGTACTACACCTATCAATAGTTATGACAAATGAATCATTTACGCGTAGCAATTATACTGTTCTTAACAAGAATGTATTGAAGTTGGCCTTGGCAATTATTTCGTACGTTAATTAGTATTAATGCTAATGTCTATGTATCCAATTGTGGATTGCAACAGATTTTCTTCATTGCATATTAATGCCCTCATGGATGTTGTATGACAAAAGGCAGAAGGTCTGAAAATATCCTTAAAATATTAGCTTTATCTACCTTACGTTGCTATTTACTACTCGTAGAAGTATGTCTAGAACTCTTCATCTCACCTCAAATACTCCACTAAGACTTTCAACACTCTTTTAAAGATATGGGCACTTTAACAGTTTGAATTGGACCAAAATCACAGATCATTTTTACAAAATAATCAAGTCAGACACTTAAACATGTACTCATATCTGACACGAGTATCCAAATACGAATAACATAAATACCTAAAAAAAGTAGGGAAAACGTTAATGAGATTGCTAAAAGCTACTAGTAGAAAGTCATTGTATTGTATTGATTACATGCAAGTATTGAACCGTTAGTTTTCTAACTAAAATGATGATGAATTACATAATGGACGTCAGAAAATTAGAAAGATAAACGAATGGTGCGAATATATTCATCGTCCAAAATCATAAAAAAGTAACGTACATGAGCTTTTCCTAATCGATTACATGAAGAAAAAGGACAAAAGAAGAAACCTAACAACATTGACTTATTATATCTCTTCTTCAAAATCCAATGAATGAATTTCCTCCATTTTCGTTAACACGTGCCTCTTTCATGGGTGTCCATGTGAAGTAGTATGATGATGAAAATGAAGGTTGCCATTCAATTCAATTTGTTCACTGCAAATACAATCAAATTCAGATCAAGAGTCTGTGACCCCTTTGCCATTTAATGCATCTTGTCTGTTTGCTTCCTTGGGAAATTTTTGATAGGGATCCCTATGCTATGTTTGATTTTATTATTATTATATTACTTGTGGGAAAATCCGAAGAAACTTATGTAGTCCTAAGAATTATGGATACGAAGGTACGAGTAAAAGTAGATTAAACACTCTTCAAGTCCAAGGCAGCTTAACCGCTCTTAATGAAATTAGTATTTATTAGTTATAGAAATAATCTATATTTGAAATGTAACCTATTTCAATGTAGTTTTTAATATCTACTTCACAAGCATATCCATGTATGCACACTACAAGAAAACGCGACCAATATTACCGACGAGCACCAAATTAGCGACTGGGTTTATAAACGATCGGTAATTACCGACCGTTAAGAAAATCAGTCGCTAGTTATCGACTTTTAAATTTTATATCTTTAATAACAGTAATAAGCCAATATCAATGATTAAAAGAAAGACCGACTGTAAAATTTTGATGTAATTTATGTCATAAGTAGTATTTCATTTTAATTAAGGAACAAATAAAATGACGATTGGTTGTTGTGGAGGAGGAGGGGGTCACCGACTGCCGGTCATGGCTTCACCTCGCTCCCCCACAAATTGAATTAACTCTAGGACATAATGAAGTACTCACTATATATATATATAGTGTACGCATAACATCTTGCTAACGAGCGTCCCGGGGCGTTAGATAAAGATAAATTATATTGGTTGAAATGGTATTAAGTTAGGAATTCATGACAAAATCACGCGTCGTTCGATGTAACTAATGTTAATTTTACTCTAATATTTGCACTTTAATTATCTTATCTAACGCCCCAGGAACGCTCATTAGCTTTTGCCTTTTGGATGAACTAATTAATTAACACGATAATATACATACATACATAGTTTTTTTTACTAAGAAACTAAGATAAGACCTTAAATCAATTATGATTGTAAAATACCTTGTATTAGATGGTTGTCGTGAATTGTGATTGTGAAGTACGTAAGTTGCCACATCACAAAAAAAAATGACATAATAAGAAAAAGTAAAACCCTTTCTAGCTTAGTCTTCTAGAGAGACATAAATAATAAATGCAAAGTCCTAAAAAAAGCCAAGATGGATAACGATACTACTACAACTATTACTTTACCTCATCGATCAATCGTCTTCTTCATATTTTTTCTTCTATTTTTCTGGCCTATTATCATCATTACTTTTATTGCCATCATTGTTTACAATTACTATCATAAAGTGGGCACAAAAATAAATATACAACAAAATCACAGCAAATTATTACTCCTTTTGCCTACTTATATATATTCACACAATACATAAAGCAAATTAAACCAAAAAATAATTTTTAAAAAAAACTCTTTCTATTTTCTTGTACCCCTAATATTTTTTTTTCTTTCTTTTTGCTAATTATGTGTATGAGTATCAAAGAAATAACCCCTTTTAATATCTTATATTATAATCATCGTAGAAAGATGAGAAGCTGCAATATTCACTGGCTAATCACAAGGAGGTACGTAATTAATTCTATATATAAATATAATATATATCAAAGTATTTTATACAATTTCTAGTACGTTTTTTTTAATTATTAATAAAATCCTTTGATTTTTTTTTTGAGGGAATAAAATCCTTTGATTTATTCGTTATTTAACATGATAATGATACAAATGTAACAGGAAGATGAGAAAATCGTCATTGAATAAGATGTTATTAAAGAAAAACATGGAGTTATATTTGAAGAACCAAGATATTTTGAGGGAGAATGTTAAGCTAATGAAGAAAGTTGCTTATCTTAATCAAGAAAACAATGTTCTCTTAGCTCAACTACGAAATTGTCGTCCTCACAACGACAACGACAACGACAACAACAACTCAGTATGAATCTCACAAATAAAACACGAACTGAATCGATCCGATGAGATGATCTAGTAAAGTATGGTTGAAGTGCATCCTCAATGTTTTAGATACATAAATGAGCAGCTTTATAGTTTGATAGAGTGCATTTAGAGTAAGCTAAGCTAGTGATGTAAATCATACTACAACACTTGTTCTTTTCCTTTTTCTTTTTGTTTTTTTGAATAATAATATTGTTTCAAACAAGAGAGCAATGAAGTTGATAGTATTAATTGGATAAATTATGTTGCTCAAACCTTTATTTTTGAGGTTTATTTTTTACTTAATAATTAGTCAAACAATAGGTTTGAGGAATTTATCCCATAATTGTTTAATAAGAAGTATTAACTTGATCATAACTTGATTATTACATCAGTATACTCTTGTTTCCAAATTAAAGCATATTATAACTCTAACAGGATTGCTAAGGCAATGACTTATGTTGTAGTAACAACAGTAATAAGTTTAGGTTAAGACTTGAAGGTTTTAAATTTTGTATTTGTTTGTTATATCACTAATCACTTATATGGGGTATTTGGTTTGTGCTGCCGTTCTTTGGACCAGAAGGGATGGTCTTCCTCGTTGGGCCTTTAACCTCTTTTACCAGCAATCTAGGCCCATTATAAAGCGTGGAGATTTTTTGTTAGTTACAGTTTCGGTCCAAATACCTACGTTTTTATACTTGGTAGGCCTAATTGGATATCTGATCTTATTCAAATTTTTTGATATCCATAAACACTAATCTGATTTCAACTAATTTGACTTTTATTATCCCCTTAATATATTACCCCCAAATCCCCAGTCCAAGCATGGCCTTAGAAGTAGAGGGGATGATAAGAAAACCTGAACCCTAAGTTGATAAGATTAGAACTCGAGAACACTAGTAAAATTTGATACTGTGTATTCTTTCCCACTTTTGATAATTTTCTTGTTAATTTTTTATGCATTATGGGATTTATAGAATTATAGAGTATAATTTTGAGTTTTAACCGCAATTTTAGTTACTCCATATTTTTTTTGAGGAAAACTTATTGAAACGTTGTTGACAAATTAGATTTTGGCGCAAATCCATCTTCCACAATTATTTTGAAAAGTTTATCCTATTTCGGACTAACATTTGTGGTTTAAATATAAAGCATTCCAACATAAACAGTAAAAAAAAAAAAAAAAAAAAGCAGTGTACTGAAAAAGAAAAGGAGGTAAGACAAAAACGCGAAAAGTAAGTAATTAACACTAATCATAATATTCATAAGCACACCACCGTCAAAATTAACTCCATATTCGGTACTTAAAACCACACTTTAAATTCCCACAGTGTCTTCATGTCATGTCCCCGCAAATTCAGTAACCCCACCTTCCTGACACACCCATTCTCCTCTCCTTTTTCATTCAAAACTCAAATATTTCACCATTTTTGTTGACCATCTCTTGACCACCTCCTCCTCTTTTTCTTACACTTATTTCAATTTCATTCATTTCAATTTTAAAACAAATTAATTAATTTCACAAATATTCAAATAAATAAACACTTTTATTGATCTTGTTTGGATGATGTTTCTGGAATTTCCAGAAGTATATTCATTTATGGTGTAATCTTTCTCAACTGTAAACAACTGCTTCAAACAATTAATGGCTACTAAAAATGGCGGTTTTCGAGGAGGTTCCTTAAAGCCGTCTTCTGCTACTAATCATAAGTCTTCTTCCTTCAAATCTAAGCCTCCTGTTCGTCGTACCGCCTCTCTTGGTGGTGCAGCCGCCGTCGCTGCTAGAGATTTTTCCGACGGTTAGGGTTTCTGTTTTTTTTTTCTTCTCATTTTTTAAATTTTTTTGTTTTTCGATCTGTTTCGTTTTCTGTGATTGATGATTTTTTATAGCTTAATTTGTGTTTGTGTTAGTTATATTTTGAAACATTGAGTGATTAAGTTTTGGAGCAAATTAGTAAGTTTAGTGTTGATTTTAACAATGCCTTTGTTTTTAATTGATTTTGTTGTGAAGCTTGTTTTTTGTTTTTGATTTTTGTGTAGTATTAAGAATTAGTGTAATGTGATTGGTAGTGGAGCAAATGATGCTTTGATTGGTTAACTGGAATTAGTGGACAGTATTGGTATGTATTGTGTGATCAGTGGAATGATCAAGGTTGTTTTTAAAAGGTGGTGTTGAGGCAGTAGAGTTAGACGAGCTAGGTGAATTACACATTGTAGTTAAAATTAGTCGAGCGAGGTGAATTACTGAATTTATGACATCAAATGCAGAATGGAGGTAGGAATGGGATTGGCAAAGAGCTTTTCGTTGCCATTATTACAATCTTTTACCTAGATTTTCTTTGCGGATGGTAGGCATGAGAATGTGTAGTATGGTGTGAGTTGGCTGACGATGTGGAATGTGAGGTTACTCTATGGAGAATGTAAATGGATGGTTTATGACTTCTGGAACATAATACTGAAGTGCCATTTTACTAGAAACGGTGGACTATTTGCTAGGAGAAAAACTTTCATTGCAGACTTAAGGTTTTATCACTACGGATTTGTTTAAAGGCATGGCCAGAATTGGACGGATGAGCTGCACATTTGAAATTTGTGACCCAAAGTGAGTAGAATCCTAATCACCATAGAAAGATGTTCAAATGTAATTTTGGATTACGCAGATTCTGTTTGTTCAATTGCTACTCTCTAGTCCCGCCTTCTATGTTTACTAAGCACGTGAGTTTAAATGTATTAGACTCTTGGTTGGTCAGTGATTTCTTGGATGTAGGATATTGTATATTGTTAGAATCAGGAGATCATTGGTGTGATAGTTGTTCTTTTCCAAGGGATTACATAGTAGGGTGCTAATTTTTTATCTGAGAAGATCAGCTTCTTCTCTTAAGTGGGTGTATCCATGCTTTAGTTTGTTAGGATATCAGGAAAAAAAAAAACAAAAAACTAGCAGATAGTTTGTTAGGATATCAGAAAAAAAAAAAAACAAAAAAAAACTAATCACATTATTTGGCTGTTATTGATTATATTTTCTGAAGCAGCAATTATGTCTCATAGCCTGATGCAGTTGATAAAGAGGCTGTTTGAAGATGCATTCTGCTGCAGTTCTTGTGTCATTGTCTCGATTTTAATCCTAGAAAAGCGTAGTGTTTATGATTATAGGGAAGAAGCTAAGACGTATTTGTACATCATCAGTTGAATGACTCATTTATTATGCTTTTAATTTTTATCTGTTCCTCCTAACAACACCGGTATTATATGATTCTGTTGGGTCCTATTATAGGGACAGTTTCACAAGAGAATTCTTGTGTACAGTAGAGTTCTATATATTCTAATTTATCAGCATTTTTTATCTCTATTATCTCCTCCATCATATGGTCCAAAGACTTTCTAGTTGCAAGTAAATATACTTCTTTTCTAGTTTTCTCTCTCCTGCTAATTCATTCATTTACTTTATGTCATCAGCTCCAGGCAGAGTACGAGTAGCTGTTAGACTGAGGCCTAAAAATGCAGAGGAATCAGTTACAGATGCAGATTATGCTGACTGTGTAGAGTTGCAACCAGAGGTTTTCCCCCTTTCGTCTCTGTCTCTTGCACAAGAACTCTGTATTTTTGCATTAACTTGCATCTCTTTGTATATCATCATAAAGTGTGTGTGGTTTGTAGTATTACTGCTAATCAATTGACGTTCTATTCCAGCTCAAGAGGTTGAAGCTTCGTAAAAACAATTGGGACTCAGACACTTATGAATTTGATGAATTGCTCACTGAGTTTTCATCCCAGAAGCGTGTCTATGAAGTTGTTGCAAAGCCTGTGGTTGAGGTGTGTTGTCAATGTGTTTGCAATTTTTAACCTCAATTAAAACCCATATTAATGTGATGCATATATATTACTGTGTTACAATTGACAAAGTGGCTCTGGTGATTGTGGTGAAGTGGTTTAATGAGGACATTTAATGTCTAGTAGCTTTGTATGTAGTTTTTTCATTAAAGGATATCATTGTTGTTGAGAATGAGTCAAAGAGTATTGCATTGGACCATTCTTAGATGTCCTTTGCACAATAAGTGGCTGGAAGACCTAACTGAAGTCTGAGTGTTTTTGGTTGTCAGGCTTCTCTTTTGTTGCTTAATTGTCTTCTTCGATTTTTAATTTTGTGACCAACAAGTAGGCTGCACTGTTGTTTAGCTTCCCATTTCTGCTTCCCTAATTAAGCATTACTTCTTGCTGATTTTGTATGGTTTCTAGTATGTTTAATGTGCTTCTTATACTTTTTAATCATTAGTGAGATGTTAAGATTGTTTCTTGTGATCTGACTTCTGAGAGGCACAGTGGGTATCTTTCACATTTTTTATCCTTCTTTATATATTTTTTTTCTCTTCATTTCTGTTGGGATGTGATTTAATTTTAAAGTGCTACAAATGTGGACGGCTGGACCAGATGTATGCTTATTGGTTCATCCTATGTGAGGGATGTAGGGCAAACACAGTAATTTTTGTTTCTTCTTCATGACTTCTGTAGTCTGCACTCCTTACTTTATTCTGCAGAATTTGTACTTAAATTAAGAATTTGTTCTGTGAGTGACTGATATGTTTTTTCTGCTTTTCTAGAGTGTGCTTGATGGTTACAATGGAACCGTGCTGGCTTATGGCCAAACCGGTACAGGAAAAACTTTTACTCTTGGAGAGTTGGGAGAAGAAGATGTTTCTGATCGAGGTATCATGGTCCGTTCCATGGAGGATATCCTTGCTGACATCTGTTTAGATACTGATTCAGTCTATGTATCATACATACAGGTTGGTTGAATTTATAGTTGAAAAAGCAGCATACTTAATTAGTAATGTGCATTTTATAGATTTCCTTATGGCTCTTCCAAGCTAGCCAAGCTTTCCTTGTAAATTTTTTTTTATTATTTTTTCTGTTTTGCTCTTACTATTACATAAATTTTGTGCAGCTTTATATGGAGACTATTCAAGATCTTCTTAATCCTGCAAATGACAATATTCCTATCACAGAGGATCCCAGAACAGGAGAGGTTTCTTTGCCTGGTGCAACTGTTGTTGAGATAAGAGATCAAAACAGCTTTCTTGATCTCCTGCGATTAGGGGAAGCTCATCGTTTTGCTGCTAATACAAAGCTGAATACAGAATCTTCTAGGAGCCACGCCATCCTTATGGTAATAATATTTTCCCTCATCTATTTCATGCTAGCCATTTCCCTAGTATCTTCGTGTTCTCTGATTCCATTGTGTTCTCATCTCTTTTTATGCCTGGAAATTAACACGTTGAATATGGAACATCTGGTATAAAATGCTGATTAAAATTAATGCTGCTGCTGGTGATGACAATGATAATAATAATTGCAGACAATATATGAATGACAGTATTTGTGAAAAGTTTGCTAAGTCTTGAAAGAAATATCTCGTGTATCTAAATGACAGTCCCATCAATCACTCGAATAGTCACTTTCCGTCCTACTTATTTCCAGCATAACAGTTTAAAATCTTAAATTGTCAAATTTAAGTGGTTGTGCTTCAATAACAATTACTAGTATGTGATTCTGAATATTCATTCGAGTAGTGCTTAAAGCTAAAAAAATATGATGTGCTGTTGTTCCCCCACTACTTTCTGATCATTTGAGAGACACTAAACATGAATTGCACAATATGCCGTAGTTTTTTTTTGTTGGATGCAAAATTAACTACTGCTATGCTTTTAGTGTGAGATTTAATGGAGAACATTATAATGTAATGGCCTGCCACAGATATTGTGGTGCAAAATTGCATCCAGAATTCCAGGTTACACAAAGTTTTATTGTGCAATAACAATATAATTGCTTCAATGTATGGACTACTAATAGGCATAAGATGGACTAGATGGTTCCAAAGTGATTAGTACTCATTCAGTTGTTGAGGCATTCAAAATAAACTGAAATTTGATTATTCAATTAAACTCGGTCCCTGGAAATCACACCATCATAGTGCGAAAACTCTGCATGGTCTAACATATTATTTAGTTAAGAACCAAGAAATTACACCAGCAGAATATTGAGAGATTACGTTTACCGGATTTTGTAAGATTAGGACATTAGAAGGATTGGCAACACACAAGGAAGGAGAAAAGCTTACTATCTAATCTCGTAGAAGTCTTAGTATTGAGAGATTATGTTTACTGGATTTTGTAAGATTAGGACATTAGGAGGATTGGAAACACACAGGGAAGGAGAAAAGCTTACTATCTAATCTCATAGAAGTCTTAGTAATTAAGGCTTGAGAATATAAATGGTGTAGAGGGTGGAACACGGTTTCTTCTCCAAAAGCAGCTAGAGCACTGAGAGTACCCTGTTTGTCAGCTGTTAGCCTGATTGTCATTGATGTAAAAGATTGCTATCGTCTGGAAAGTGGGTTGAAGAGTTGAATACAAAGTATATCTTTTGCTTTTCTTCCATTCAATATAAAATATAGTATGGCAACTTGTTTGTAAATTCTTTTCTTTTATATTATCTTTTTCATTCATGTGAGTTGCTCTTTCTGTTATGTTTCTATTTGCTTGTAATAATATCCACAAATGTGTTGCAACATGTTTGGTGTTGATGGCCCATTCCAGATACAAGTTAAGAGGTCCATTGGAGGAGGAGAGCCTTCTTCTAGTGAGGATGAGAACCAATCAGTGAAAAACTGTGATCCACCAATACTGCGGAAGGGCAAGTTGGTGGTGGTAGATCTTGCTGGTTCTGAGCGTGTTCACAAGTCAGGTGCAGATAAGAATAGTCTACTACTTTTGTAATATATTGTGGTGCATTTGTATCTTGCATCAGCATTTCCTACTTATTACTTAGTGTATAGGTTTATTGTTTTCATGTATTTTTATGTTTCCTGGCCTATATTCATAATTCTGGATTGTAAATGATTACTTTCTGTTTCAAAAAAGCGATCATTACTGGAGTTAATTTCCTTTTTTTTGCTGGTAGGAAGTGAGGGCCATACCTTGGAGGAAGCAAAGGCTATCAATCTCTCTCTTACTGCATTAGGAAAATGTATCAATGCACTTGCAGAGAATAGCCCTCATGTTCCAGTACGTGATTCCAAACTCACGAGGTTGCTTAGAGATTCATTTGGAGGTGAGGCATTATAGGTTCACTTTGCTGAAATATTGAGGGTTTTAATTGGATCTAGTGGATTTCATGTGATAACCATACTCGTTCAGCTATGTGCACGATGCTAGCTGTTTTCACTCAAATGAGTCAAATCTCTTGGCAAATGTTTTGTCCCTGTTGTGTGTAAATCTAAAAAGAAGCTGGCTTAGAAGAAAAGAAAAAAGAAACAGATATTGAGATACGTTAAGAAAGTTTTAATGTACTTCTTTTGACATACAGGGTCTGCGAGAACATCCCTGGTTGTAACAATTGGTCCTTCACCCCGGCATCGTGGAGAGACTACAAGCACTATATTGTTTGGGCAAAGAGTGAGCAGCCTTTTTCTCTGTAATTTGATGTGATTGCACAATGCTCTTTTACTACTTAGTATAATTTCTCACATCTGTTGTGGTTAGGTTTTGTTGTGCTCTGTCCGTTTCATATTGATTAGATGAGTGGGTGTAAAGAAAAGATGGATAAAGTAGGATACAGACAGTAAAAAAAAATAGATATGCTTTTCTTTTGGGAAAATTTGAAACTTCTAATAATCTGAGGATGATGTAGGAATATATTGAAATTCATTGAAAATGGGCAACATAGTTGAACTAATGTATGAATAATATGATTGGTATCTGTTATGTTAGATGCTGAGACTTCTCTGTCACAGGCCATGAAGGTTGAGAACATGCTGAGAATAAAGGAAGAATTTGATTACAAAAGTTTGTCCAAAAGACTTGAGGTACAACTGGACAAACTTATTGCTGAGGGAGAAAGGCGGCAGAAAGCATTTGATGATGAAGTCAGAAAAATAAGTCTAGAAGCTGAGAACCATGTCTCTGAAGTTGAAAGGAAATTTTCTAATGAATTAGAGGTTTGTTGAAAATGTTGGGTACTTTGCTTTTTTTGCTACTGCACTCTTGTTTTAGAGGATATTTTGTGATTCTAAAACCTATTCATCTTTGAAGTGGCTGGCTCTTTGCTTTCCATTCCTTTTGAGGTGTTTATTAACCTTTTGAGTTTGTTCTCTTGAAACCCAGAAAGAAAGAACAAAGTGTCAAATGGATTATTTAGAGTCCATAAAGAAGCTTGAGGAGAAGTGGATTACGAATCAGCAAAACCAGCAGAAGAATGGGTTCAGCAATGGTCCATGTGATAGAGAGGTATATACTGCTAACACTTGTTGCATAGTGTTTATTGATTTCACCGGTATAGTGTTTGTTAGTTTGGTTTCCATATGTTTTCTTTTCACAGATATATACTTATATATAATTGGCTTTGAATATAATATGTACAACATTTGCTGAATATCGTTTCCATAAGCATGTTAAGTGCATTGATTCCCTGGTGCCTCGTTCATTTAGGAACAAAATGTGTCTCTATCAGAAGAAGTTGCTGAAATTAAAAAGCTTCTTCAAAATGAAACTCAATTACGAAAGGCAGCTGAAGAGGAGGCCAAGAACTTGAAAAATCAACTATCTCAGTTGACATCTTCAGAGGTGTGTTCTCACTTTTGTTTGGTGGTGCCTGTGATCTAGCATCTTTTACCCTCTTTTTCTTCCTTTTTTTTATTATTATTTTTATTTATTTTTATATATACATATTTTTTATTCCTCAACCTGATTTTTTTGGATTTGCAGGGAGGTGGAACTGCTGAATTTGTTAGACTTCACCAGATGCTGGAAGATGAAGCTTATGAGAAGAAAAAGCTTCAAGAAGAAATCACATCTTTACAAAGCCAGTTGTTGCAGCTTACGTTTGAAGCCGATCAGGTATTTATCTCTCTTTTTTACGGCCCTGTATCCTTTTTTAGCCGTGTGATTGTTATTGCATATGCACATAACAATGCTAAGCTATTTGAGCAAGAATTAAATTGTGATATTGGTGTCACATATTTTTTAATTGGCTTTGTAATCTCTGGAGTTTGTGTGTTGGAATTGAAGGAGTGTTCTCTTATAGGTAGCAACACTATCTATCTCTAATTTGGATACTTTCTGACTTGATCACTACTTGAACTTTTTGTCACTAGATGCGGAAGTACATTGAAAGGCTTGAATCAGGAAATGGATCTCGTCCCCAATCACTCACGTCCCCAAGTAGACAATCCCAAAACAAAGACAGAGAAAATGGACCCAAGTCATCATTTAATTCACTCTTTGAACAAGGTGAGAATAAGGTGTGTATTTGATGCATCTGATGTTTGGCATCCTGAATCACTGTGTTTCAATTATCATATCTTGATTGAACAGATCTATGCATACTAGTGTTGGATAGTTTGGCCAATAACTCTTGATGTCATTTGGAGATTAAAGCCTTTAACAATGACTAGAAAATTATAGAACTCTCCTTGTTTGGTGACCAAGATCGGGAAGGGCAGGGCTGAAATGATGTATTCTCAAGATTTATCTTCTGAGCAAAGTGCTATCATAATTTTTAAGCTTTTTGACTTCCTATCACTCTATCAGTTTGTGGCTTTCACGAGGACATTTAGCATACTTTCTTTCTTCTGATAATCTTTGCAGTCTAGCCCTTCATGCTTTAAATATTTTTATTATTGTATAGGAAATTATTGCTTTCTAAATGGCTCCTAATCCTATAATATCTCTGGTTGGTAACCAAGGTAGTAAAATGCAGTATATGTTCTCAATATTCATCTTCTGTACTAAGTGTTGTTTTTGCTCTAGCTTTTCTGGGATTGATATTCTATCAGCATGCTGTGACTTCTGACATCTGTGATTGTTAGTAATTTTCTTACAGTCTTCCACTTGCATAGTGACATTTTCAGTATCGTATATTGTCAGGGTCACTGAAATGTATAGGTAATTAGACAGACTTTCACAAAGGCAATGCATATTAGGGTTCACAACTTCACATAAACAAAAGTAAACACATGTCTGGAAATGTGGCTCTTTCTGATTCAGAACTATGAATATATTTTTTACAAGGGAACTTTGCTGTTGATTAAGATTCCACACTTAAGATTATCCTTTCTGTTTAGGGGACCTAGTGATCAGAGTTAAAGCGTCAACAATACCTTTATTTTTGGATTTGTTTCAGTGGAAAACAGGAATGCAACTTAGTACAAGATAATGATATTTTGGTTATGTAAATGCCATCAGATTCTTTCTTTTCTTGTTCTTTTGGGGCAGGGGAGAGTAGAGGATATAATGGAACTTGAACTAATGAAGTACTCCCAAAAAAGGATGATACCCGGTTGCTGTATTTATGTTTATTTTTTTGTCAGGTTAGTTTCATCTGCTCATTGTAAATTCATTATTGCAGTTGGATTGCAAAGAATCTTATCGATGCTTGAGTCGGAGGATGCCAATACACGTATTCATGCAGTGAAAATTGTGGCTAACCTTGCTGCTGAAGGTTGTAAGATTTTCCTTATTTCCTTTATGACTTGTTTTGCTGTTCATCTCATGTGTAGATTTTAAGTAAACATCTCATGAATCGTATATTAAGTTGAAACCTAAAAGAGTAATGTTGGCTATGTAGAAACAAACCAAGAGAGGATTGTGGCTGCTGGTGGGCTCACTTCCTTGTTAATGCTTCTTAGAAGCTACGAAGATGAAACTGTTCGCCGTGTAGCAGCTGGAGCAATTGCCAATCTTGCAATGAATGGTAAATGGATTTTGTGTGTGTTTTTTGGTTTCTTGATGACCATGCATTTAGTTGTTCAAGTGGTAGTTTTGCTTCATTTTCATGCTGTCTCTTACTGGTACTTGCAGAAGCCAATCAAGAACATATAGTTGCTGAAGGTGGAATTAGTCTCTTATCAATAACAGCTGATGATGCGGAAGATCCACAGACTCTTCGCATGGTTGCTGGAGCAATGGCTAATCTGTGCGGGAATGGTAATTTATCTCATCTCTTGTGTTTCAGCCCATTCAGTGTACAGTCTCGTGCTGTAATAATTTTACTATAGATTCCTTCTGTCAACTATGATCAATTTCAGAAGTTGTCTTTTCCTGATTTAGTTGCATTTAGAAAAATATGTGAATTCAATCTTCTCTCTCCCATTGATTGTAGATCTCAATCAAAGGGTATTTAGCAAATAAAACAAATTAATTTCAGTCACAATTGTGACTCTTGTATATCTAACCACATATGATTTTAGTAGCTAGCAGTGACAGTCTTTTTGTGCTTTGTCAGTTTCTTTTTCATTTTCTCCTTGCTGTAAAATACGAATAACTTCTATTGTTCCTACTGTTTAGGAATTGTTAAAGTAGGAACCTCCATAGAGCTATGAGCTATCCAAGTCACATCATAAAGTGATTCCTGTCTGATATTATTTTCTGTCTAATTTATGTATGCAAATTATTTAAGCTTTTATAGTTTTTAAAATTTGAGTTTGCTTTTTCCAGATAAGCTACAGGTCAAGCTACGAGCTGAGGGTGGTATCAGGGCATTGCTTGGGATGGTAAGATGTAGACATCCTGATGTTCTTTCTCAGATTGCACGTGGAATAGCAAACTTTGCTAAATGTGAATCTCGGGGTGCAACTCAAGGTATGTGGTTATGTGCCATCTTTGCCTAGTTGAGTAACTTGATTAAGCAAGAGGCTAGTCTCTCTCTGACTGTTGTATTCGGACTTGTTCTGAACTTTTGTTGCATGAGCTTCCAGGGCTTCCTAACAGTCAAGGGCTTGTTTTTCTCATGTGTGCTGTTAGAGGACCTGTCGTCATTATCTCATAGAGTCAAACAGTTTCAGTATTTAAAAGTGATGCATGGCTTTAAAGTTTAAAATTATCATCAATCTTTATTACAAAATACTCGCACTGGTATTTGTTCTGATAGTTGATGAGTAGAATGTGTGTTCAATTGGTTATGTGGTGGAATGTGATCATCAGCTTTAGGGGGGAGCAATGAGTTTCTTCTTGTTTTGTCCCAACTCCATTCTTCATTCCTGTCAAGTGTCCACGGAAATTGTAGTATTGGACTTTTTACCAAAACACCTAGGTTTTGAGAAAACTCTTGGAAAGGTGTCATGCACAATTAAATATCAGTAGTATTAAAGTTCCTTTGTGATAGTCCCAGGCTCCCAGCGTCAAATCTGATTCAAACGTACATTGCTCTTAATGGTCCAACAACTAGTTTGAGTATGGAAGGAGAATTTGCTGTTTAGTAATTAGGATTCGATAGGTTCCTTTGATGTTTCTCATGCTTGTGCCTTGTTTACTTTAGGGTCAAAAACTGGAAAATCTTTACTGCTCGAGGATGGTGCACTTCCTTGGATTGTACAAAATGCCAATAATGAAGCTTCACCGATCAGGCGGCATATTGAGCTTGCATTGTGCCACTTAGCTCAGCATGGTGAGTAAAAACCTATCTTTTTCAAACTGCGTAAAAAGAAATGGTAAAACTCAGTGAAATGACAGTTGAAAATAATGTACATTAATTCCGCAGAAGTAAATGTTAAAGATATGATTGCTGGGGGAGCACTCTGGGAGCTGGTACGCATATCCCGGGACTGCTCACGGGAAGACATTAGGACTCTTGCCCGTCGAACCCTTATTTCCAGCCCCACTTTCCAAGCAGAGCTGAGTCGGTTACGGGTGGAGATATAATCTTGATGATGATTATATATTCTCACCCATAAAGTGAATCCAGATAGGATTCTCCGGATGCAGTGCAGTGCCTCTAGTATTATGAAGAGGAAATATACAACGCCAAACAAGTCAGTACGGAGTTTTTCGCTAGTCTGACGCATACACAGTGGTGGTGGTCAGTTTTGTAATCCTATAGTTAATGTATACCGTTTCGAAGGGGGAGCTCCCCTGCCACCCGCCACACCTGAAATGATTCTCACTGGGTTCTTGTGGAGTTGTGGTTACCGCCATGGGATTCCCAGATTACATCTATGAAAGTAAAAAAAGTAGTACTAATATCATTATTGAGGTCTCGCCTAGTGTATTGTACGGAATAGCATTTTATCTAATTTTCATTTCATAATTGTGTAAATTCTAATGTAAATTTTTCCATTTTTTTCCCTATACAAGTCTAAGGTTGTGTTCTCTTCAACTAAAATAAGGTCATCTAATTCCATTTCTAAGTTATATAGTCTAATCTTGTCTCTTGATTTAACGAAACTTTGATTGTATTTGTGCTCCAATATACATATGAAGTGTAATATATCAAGTAGGATTTTTTTTTTTTTAAATACTTGTTCAATTTTATCAAATAAAATACTACCTCCGTGAATTAATATTACTGTGTGTAACCTATATTTTATACCTCACAAATAATGTTCTATAGATGTATGTAATAAATACTTATAAACAGAGGTAGTATAATTAGTTGGCAACATGCAACCGGGAAAAAGTAATATTGCTCTATATTTTCTGATATGATGTTAATAAGAATAAATACTCGTAATACAGTAGATATTTGAAGTCTTCGGGTCATTTTGAGACTAAGACTCAGTTATGGTGGTTTGTTGTAGACTTGTAGTATACACTTCAAATAATATGAGTAAAATGAAACACTTCGCTCCTCGGCTGTCCAACTAACACCTCCTGCCATCTTACCATGCTGCAACCAATATACTGTTAGCTGAGTAACCTTACCAACTTACCAAGCACTGCTACCCTAGCTTCTAAGTGTTTTTTTTATAGTGTTCAGAGAGTCACAGGGGCGGGTGATGAGAATCTATACCAAGATCTCTTGGAATCGGAAGGAGAGCTCAAACCACTTAAGCTATCCCTCACTCTTCCCTAGGTGCACAGCCATGAGGAGCGCGACGAAAGTAGTGGCGGGTGTGACCGTCCGATGTGTAGTGGGAAGAGTTGGCGTGATTCACGTAGGGTGGTTTGAAAAACAAAAAAAAAAAGTCGATGTTTGGGTATGAGTGAAATGTAGTGGTTGAATTAACATACAGTACATACATTAAGATCCTAATTATGGAGTAAGAAACATGAATGTGTGTTGTAAGCAAGAGATTGAATATCGAGGTTGGACAAGAACAACAATAAACCCAGCGTCAGTACTTGAATGAAGCTTAGTGATCGATAACCCATGCATTGTCGTCAAAGCTTAAGACAAAGACAAAGGATAATTATTTTATCTACTTCATTTATCAAACTTTACCAAAACGACAAGGAAGATAATACGGACAAATGTTGCTAAGACAATTAAGGCAGCTCATCAAGGTTAGGATTCACTCAACTTGATAGCTAACAAAAAAAAAATGAAATTAATACTATCTTGTTTCATATTATTTGCGACGATTAAACATTTTTTTACTCACACTTTATGTCAAATCATTGCAAATAACATCGCATAAGGCAAAAGCTAATGAGCGCCCCCGGGGCGTTAGATAAGAGAATTAAAATACAAATATTAAAATAAAATTAACATTAATTACACCGAACAACGCGTGATTTTGTCATGAATTCCTAACTTAATACCATTTCAACCAATATAATTTATCCTTATTTAACGCCCTGGGGCGCTCGTTAGCAATATCGATAACATAAAATGGAGCTAATATAAGGTTTTTTCATCATTAGGTCATTCTTGAAACATTTATTGTACTCCCTTTTTTTCCCTAAATTTTGTGGAGTTACGATATGACTGCAAGACACACACCTATTGTCCTTTTATAAACTTTATAGTTTATGGGAAGCTGGATAGGGATTCAATGTAAAACTTTTTAATTCGTCATTCTTCATAAATATATTGTGCCTTTTTTTTCATTTCCTAATATTTGTGGAGTTACAAAATAATGCAAGACACAAACATGTTGTCTCTTTGTAAGCTAGGCATACATTCAAATCAATAGCATTTGAGAAAATGTACAAAGCATTAGGACTAATTATATTATCTTACTCGTACAAAACATAGTGAATGAGCTTAAATGGCATTAAACTCAAATAAAGTTTTATAAACCATAGCTTAGCTATTTAGACCTTCAAGGAAATGATAAATGACTTTGTTGTAATTTGTTCAAAGTCCAAAGATACTTCCGTAAATCAATAGCAAAGCCTTGTGGAAATCAAAGTATAGCCTCCTAGATGTTCAATTAGTATGACACTGAAATCAATACACTACTAACCCCTAACAAAGGCTTAATTAGTACCACTCAATATGTTACAATTATAACTCAAAATTATCAAATAGAAGATCGGTTTGAAAATGTAAATTAATTCGTTTGAGACAATTCTACATTGCAGCTAATAACTACTACTGGGTATTATAACACCTAACGCAAAATGAGTATACTCATTTGATAGCTATATATGTAGGTTACGATAGAGGATATATTGTCCATATAGGGTATGTTCACATTTGATGAACTGAACTGATTGGAGCTGAACTGAACTGAACCGAACTGAACTGAACTAATTGGAGCTTAATTGAACTTAACTGACCTGAACTAAGCTAAAATGAATTTTTATATGAGAGAGGGAAATTAAGAGCTGAACTGAACTGGATTGATTGGAACTGAACTGAACTGAACTGAATTGAAATTAGGTAAATGTGAACAGGTCCGAAGTAAAAGATCAACTTATATACTCGTATATACATGGGAATTTGACTATAAGTCTATAATATATTGGAGACTGAATTATATCATTGAACTAACTATGCTTCATTAGTCAAATTCTTTGCTAAAGATGATCGCCGACAAGTAGAGGTTAACGATCTAAACGGTAAAGATAAATAATTCTGAACATGCATACATACATCTTAAAATCAAGAAATTAAAGTACCTCAATACACTTTAATAAGGTCAGATATTTCAGTGGAACAATTCGAAGTAGATATGCTTCAACGAGATTTAAAATATCCTATTGTTATCATAATCAAAAATACTTTATTACATTAAAAGTGAATATAAAGGGTGCACTAAACTAGAATAAATTTAAGAGACAAAAACAGTGATGAGTAGTGAACAACAAGCTTCCACTCTTACACAACCTCTCAATTTCAAACAAGTAAGAGGAGAGAGAAACAAGAGAGAAACTAAATGGTTATAAGTTACGGAGTATAAGCTTCACAAACTCTCAAGCCGGAGAGGTGCGTGGGTGTTGCTGTCTTTTTTTTTTTTTTTTTTTTCAAACTTTCATACTTCTGTTTTTTTAAATTGCTGAGCTGTGAATCTGTTCAGTCTTTTTTTTTATAAATGTTTTTTTAATGTAATTTTATAAATAAAATAAAAAAATAAAAAATGCCTCGAAAAGGAACTTTTTTTAGCACCTTAAAATTAGTTTATTCAGAGCATCAGAGTAGCAGCGCACGTGCAAATGTGCAATCCTTCAGTGAGATCACCAATATATTCACTCATTAATCACCTTCTTCTATGCACACTACTCACTACTTCTAACCTTCTCCAATCTTCACTCTTAATTCATCATATATCCCATCCCACCCCCACCTACATTAATAGTAATTCTTATATACAGCCGTAAAAGCCAGATATATAGGTGTACCCGTGTAGTATTAATTCCGCGTTTTAAAACATAATCATACACCGTCCATCATTCAGTGTTAAACTTTAGCTTCTTATGTACCACTATCCAACAATGTTGTATGTGATGCCCATACTATATTGTCTAGTGTGTGTTAAGTTGATGCTAAAATCTATGATTATGGTCATGTAACAACATGTTTAGAATAGTAATTAATTTGTTTTTAATTATGTGATAAAAGCGAAGTTGGGAATGAATGATGGTAATGCGTGCAGTGAAAAAGTTGGTGGGCGCTGAGTTGCATGTGAAGTAAGTACAAAGAAAGTGATCAAAGACTCTCCCTACTTTTACTCTGCTTATTCATTTTTTTTTTGTTTTCCTAATATATATGTTTAAATACTCCTTTCATAATTATAATTATAGTTATAATTAAAGATGGATCATAAGTGGTTTAAGGTTTTGGATAATTGACCCACCTTTTCTAAAAACCAAAAAAAAAAAATATTTAATTTGTTAGATTATAAAATTTATAATACTTCCTCCGTTTCATTTTAATTACTCAGTTATTTTTAAAAACAGAAACAAAAAATTTGATAGTTTTATATGTTTATATTTAACTCGGCCATATAACAATCACATAGAACATAGAGAGAAATAGTAGAGGTACTGAAAACGTGGACAATTTTAATTTTTAAAATTATAATGTTCTTGTATATATATATGTGTTATATGATCAAGAATTCAAGATGAAGTGTAAATACTTGAAATTAAGCAGTTTTACAAACTAAATTTCACACATGGATATTATTAGCATCACTAATGTAAGTTGATGGTTTATCACAAATCAAAAACAAAAACAAAACCCATGAAAATTATTAACATCCAAACTAATGTAAGATAAAAGAAAGGAAAATTAAACAAAAGAAAATTGTCAAAAAAAACATAGATAAGGCAAATATAAGGAAATAATAAAGCAGGAGATGATGAGGGATAAACTTTCTCTCTACTTAAATTGTGAGTAGTAAAAGTTTCCAACTTAACAAAGAGCTTCATTCATTCATTCAAACTAAAGAAAAGAAAAACATTCATTCACTTATAATTAACCCATAAAGGAGTAAAATGTACTAACATTTTATCATAATAATCTCAATAAGGAGATCGATTATTAGGAGTACCCCAAAAAGCCTCAGGTGGCAATGAATTCAACAAGTTTGGTGGCAACCCTTGTAGTAAATTCCCTCCTCCTCCTCCTGATCCTCCACCGCCTCCGCTTCCATTATTATTATTATTATTATTATGACTGGGATCGCCCATGACTTGCCCTCCTACTCCTCCAGGTGGCGGTGACTTTAATCCACCGCCACCATTATTCCCAGGGCCTACTCCTGGCATCTGGGCCCCACCTCCCTCTTCTTCCTCTAGTGGTAATCTCTCATAGGCCGCGTTCCCAAAAGACGCGGCCATGACCACTACAGGCCCAGATGCCAGTAGAGGCCCTACAACCCCGCCCCCTACCACCTGCCCTTGACCTCCAGCCAGATAAATGGTAAGTCCAGAAGCGGCAGGTGGTGCTGGGGGCGGTAAAAACGACCCAGATAGAGATAGAATTTCCAACCTCCCATGTAGGGTAACAACAGCACCTGGTGCCCCAGGTTGCCGGAGAGTAACATTTGCAACAGTTCCCGTTCCACTCAAGATACAAACCCCTCTTTGCTTACGACGAGCAAAGTTAGTTATACTATCCATAATATCACACCCGTTAGCAACTTCCATAACATGAGATCTAAGAGCATTAGCACTATCTCTTGTAATAATAATAGGTGGTTTGGGTTTGTTCTTGGATCCAGCTGGTCTTCCTCTAGGCCGTCTTTGGATCTCTCTTTCGCCGTCTCCTCCGCCTTCGTTCTTGCTATCAGCAGCCCCCGAGTCGTCTCGTTCCCTCTTTAGACTCGATTTAAGGTCGCTACTACTTCCGCTTTGCTCAGCTTCCGAGCTATGATGCTGCTGTTGTTGTTGCTGCTGTTGTTGTTGATGATGTTGTTGAAGTAGAAGTTGCGGTTGTTGTTGTTGTTGCTGCTGCTGCTGAAAGTGGTGAAACTGATGATGAGGGTTTAGATGAAGACTATTGGAATGAAAAGGAGGAGGAAGAGGCCTTCCATGAGCAGTTACTTGATCCATATTATCGAAATCGATATGGAAATCAATAAAACCAACCTTGATGATGAAGGACTTGTATGGATTATTAACCCTAATTAACTAGAACAAGAAAGAAAGAAAAAAGGATGATAAGAAGCTAATAAGAATTAAAAGTTTCATGGGATAATAATATTTGAATGAAAATGGAATTGATGGAAAAGATAATTGGTAAAATTAGGGTGAAAAGAATCACGTAAAAAATGCAAGAAAAAGAGTAGAGCAAGGTTATAGGTTGAGAATGAAGGGAGAAGAATGAAAGTGTTGGGAGAGAAGAAGTTGAAGATTGGGTTAAGTTTGAGAGGAGAGAGAAATTTTAAGAGAGATGTGTGCTTTGATGATATATTTTTTTGATGAGGGGTAACAAATAAGAATCAACAAAAAAGGGGGGAAATTTGGGAGAGTTGGGTTAGGGTTAGGTCTTAAAGGGTTAGGATTTTATTTATTTTATTATTTTTAGTTATTTTTTTATTTTAAATTAAATTTTGTTGGGGTGTAAGAGGGATTAAGGACATAAGGTTGTTAGAAGATGGGTTATGAGAATTTGTGCAAGGAGAAAGGAGGAAAGGCAGCATGCGCATGGGCGGTGACTACTGACTAGTGAGTAGTGAGTGAATGAAAACAAATTATTAGATGGTGTTAGGATTTTTTTCAAAAATTTATGGTATTTTGGGCTAAATTTTTTAAATTGTGAAGATTAGAACTCATGTGAAATCACGTTAAAAAAAACTTATAGATTATGTATTTATTTTTTTATTCCATTGTATTTGAAATAAAGGAGATATTGTTATAAACACTATCAGAGTGTATGGTACACTAAGTGTGTTCTATTCAGGTTAATTTCAATTCAGTTTAGCTTTAATTAGTTCCATCAGTTCAGTTTCAATCAATTCAGTTCAGTTCAATTCAGCTCCTAATTTCCTTCTCTTATAAAACAATTTAGTTCAGCTCCAATCAATTCAGTTCATTATTAAATCATCAAACTAAAACAAAACTAATATAAATTTGATTTAATAGGGAGCATCATGCACTCAAGTATATATGAAAAGTTCTAGAAATAAACACCCATGTATATGAATTCTGAACCTACAATCCTTGTAGTTAGTTTATTTTACTCTATAACTTAGATAATTAATTGGAAATTATTGCATTTGTATATTAAGTTTGGGTAATTCTTATTTTACCTGAATTAACAAATGTAAACTCATTTTAATTTTGATCTTAATTTGTTTAAAATTTATATAAACTAAATTATGTCAAACTCAATTTATAAGAGCTTAATTGTCTCAAAACTAATGAAAATTAGTTGAAGGAAACAAATCAATGTTCAGTGGTTTAGTTTAATGTGTTGAACCTAATTTATCAGAGATATATATTATAATCTTATTAAGTATCCTCTTTATAAAAATTATAATACTTCGTATTCTTTTTTTTGGGAAGAATAATACTTCGTATTCTTAATATATACTGACTTTGAAAACTCATTTATACAATCAGATCGATACAATTTCTACTATACAACCGAATGTATAATCTGATAAACTCCCTAATCAATCAAGAATATGTAATTAATGTTCATTAATTTAGGGGAAGTTCAAAAAAAAAAAAAATGTATGGCCAAATGGGGGTTGTATCGTGTGAATTAGTGTGAGGAAACAAAAGAAAAGAAAAGAAAGTGCTCCGCATCTCAAAAATGGGACCCTCCCAGATACACTCCAAATTTGTCCCTATCCTCATATTTGGTTGAATGATGTTGACCCATTTTATTAATATGACCTAATTTAAACCCTGCCCCCTAATATATCATCCAATTAAACACCCGATAACCCCACCAACCCAATAATTTAAATTATTAATTAATTAAACTTGTTCTTAATTTTAGCTCCTGTTAATAATTAGGTTGTACCTAATGAGTTACATACAGTTAAGTAATCGTACATAATAATATGTTGTCCCTTTTACATCCCTCATCTCTCCATGTCTTATGTTATACGGAGTATATATACACCTTAATTAATTATCTAATTACAGTACTGTCTTTTAATTTTAAACTATTTATTGTCTTATATTTGCGTAACTTGTCACGTACCTCGTAACAAATTATTGTGTGTCATTTTATAATACTCCAAATAAACCAAGCAGTAGTTTAAAAATTTAGCAGCCAAAATAGGTGGACTAGAATTGAAGTACATTGTATTATGGCATTATATGATCTTGTATGACTATGATTTCTGCTATGGTATTTTTGGGGATAATGATTACCGTATGATAGTTGTGGCTAGTCTACTATGGCTATGTATGAATTTTTGCCACATTTACTGTTTTCTTTTGATGTTTTTCATTTAAGACCAATCTTAATATATGCATACTTTAAAAAAAAAAAAAAAAAAAAAAACACTTATTATCACAAGATAATATATCAATGATAATATAAGACCATATTTTTCACTCAGTTATGATTTTACGAGAAAAATTGAGGATAGAAGAGTGTTAATTAGATACGATCGTATTCCTAAATGATCAAAAATCAGTCAGTAGGCTTGTTTTGATTTACTGAATTGAGCTGAATTAAACTGAATTGAACTAAATTAAACTGAACTAAATTGAAGTGAACTGAATTGATTAGAGTTGAAATAAACTGAAGTAAACCAAACTAAACTAAATATTTTATGAGAAAAGTAAATTAGGAAGTGAACTGCTGAAGTGATTGGAGCTGAAGAGAACAAGCCCTTTAATATAGTCAAACATTGATAACAAGAAAATGACAGTCCAAACAAAGTCTTGAACTTTGAAGACAAAAAAAAATACAAGTAGAAAAAATAGGCGTTATTACAAACAATTACCTGATATAGAGGGGATGAAATAAAATTGGAAAAACCAGGAAAGAAGAGAGAGAGAGAGAGAGAGAGAGAGAGAGAGAGAGAGAGAGAGAGAGAGAGAGAATGGAGCATGTGGAAGAGCTAAGAAGATGATGGGGGGATGATCTGATTATGGGAAATTGGAGTCGTTTTACGGGTCTCAACATCCTTTCTTGCTCAGGCCGTGTCTCATGGCCGTCTCCCTTCTTCTTTTTGGGTCCCACTCTCCCAACCCTTATCATATGCTTACCACGTGTCCCTTTCCCCAATTTCATTACCATTCACTTTTATTCCATCTAGGGATTACTGTTTGTATTATTGACCTAGGTCTGGAATTAATGGTTACGTTGATATGATTTATTATGTGATTTAAATTATTACAAGTAGTAAAATGATACATATATTGTGGCTTAGATGTACGGAGGATTAACTTGTAACATTGGATGGCTTGGTGAGCTCATATCACGTACAAAATATGTAAGTTAGGCTGAAAATTTCACCTGATTTTCGTTGATCTAAACTTAGCTTAAATGAACTTATTATAACTTGCATTTTAAGTAGCTCTTGTTAATACTTCTCGTAACTTATTTATCATAAACTTATCTTATTTAAACTTATTTCAACATGTTTAATAGAACACAAACTTAAGCTAAAGGTGGTGGATTGAATTAATGGTTACAAGTCTTATTAATTAGTGACTTTGACAGTTCAATCCAAATAAGAAAGATGCTCGTTACATATAACTTAGGATTAGTTATAAAGATGAGAATAATGTACATAGTTTGTGCTGTTAAAATTAGTGTAACGATAAAGCCCTTGTGTCAATTCAATAGTAGTAGATGATACAAAGTAAAGTTTCCATGTAATATGAGTCAAATATTCCATTTTTTGAAATAGTAAGAGTTAATATTAACTTTTCCGAAGAAGATTATTGTTACACACACTATAAATTAGCTGTTGAAAGAAACGATACAAGTTTCGACACTGAAATCAGAGTCTAAAGTTTGTTCAACGGTTATATATGGGCCAAAATTCAGTTTGAATACAACAATTCCCAAAAAAAATGTAAAAATAGGCCAAAAAAATGTAAAAACCAGCCCCCCCAAAAAAAAAATGGTTTAGGGATATAATGACGTCATGGTTAAGGGCTTTAATTATGGGTTAAAGTGATATAATGACGTCATAGTTGGGTTCAATGGGGGTTTGGTAGTAATCGCAACATCTTAAAATTTTTTGCGGTAGTAATTCACAACTTTTTTAATTTGCGGTAGTAATTTACAAAGTAGTATTAACTTGCGGTAGTAATTGACAAATTTTCCAGAAAGTATTTCAAATATTACATAAACTTGATGTTTACCGTAGGAAATTGCAAAAAAAAAAAAAAAAAAAAAAAAAAAAAAAAAACTTATTTTTCACTAACAAACGTTTGATCTGATATTTGTTTAACAAACTCTAATGTACACCCTAGAGTAATAGTAGTAATAACAAAATTTTAAAATATGGTTAAAAAAATTAACATGAATATTTCATTAAAGGCTTTAAACTCTATTCAATATACTTTCTCCGTTTTTCTTTTATTGCACCATAAGAACTTTTACACTATTCACTTAATCTTCTTCGATCACTATTTGTGACTTATCTATTGGGAAAAACATATTCATGTGGATCTAGTTAGATTCGTCTCGAAATTTACTTTCTAAACATCAACTTTTTATAATTTTTATTAAAGTATAATTAAAGATAAAATAGCTTAAGTAATGCATTAGCAAGCGTGAAACCCCTTACGGTGCAATAAAAAAAACGGAGGAAGTATAAGAAGACAACATTATACTACTATATTACTTAAGGCCTATTCAGCTTAATTAATTTCGTTTCAATTCACTTTAGTTAAGCTTCAATTAGTATAATTCCTAATTTCCTTCTCTCATAAGCAATTCATTACAACTCTATTTTGTTCGGTTCATCACCTCCAATCAGTTCAGTTGAGTGCAACTCAATTCAGTAAATCAAAACGGACTCTTAGTTAGACTAATTCAAATTAGAGCAAAATGAATCCCTAATTGACAGGAAATTTTCCCGACCGACAAATAATTTATTGTGCAGTGTCTCATGATCAAATTATTCAAATATTAGACCTTCAATTAAGTTGAAACAATTCTCTAATCAGCCAATTCAAATAGGTAAAGGTTAGAGAGACAATATGGCAGCAATGCAGCATATTTATTATGTGAAGCATTTGGGTTGTACTGAGTGTAGTTACAAGAAACAGTCAAGTCATAACTCATTCACGTGCCCTAAAATTAAGAAACAAAAAGAAGTTAAAGCGCTGCGCATTAATCGTAACACGGTCTTTGCCACCTACAAAACGCTGCGTTTCAATGGCGGAATGTAAGGGTAAAGTGGGGAATAGAAAGATAAAGGGAGCAATGAGGCTTATCTGCTACGGAGTAAGGAGTAGTGCACATGGATTTGGACATGCTCCTTATGCTATTATGTTATGTCTGTCAGATGCATTGCATTTGCTGCCCTTTTTCATCTTATTATTTGCTTTCATCAACAACTTACTGTACATTGGATAATTCCTAAGTTTTTATTTCTTGCTTTAGACATAAGTATTAAAGAGTT